TCTAATTATTATAACTGTGTAACATATTCATTCTTTTACATTGGTCCCCCAAATTACTTATCTTTTTCAAATATTTATGATGTATTCAATTCTCCAGGAATATTTCATGGGCATTTTACCTCATTTGAAAAATAAAATACATGGCCATTTTCATAGAAATTGCCTTCAGTTAATGAATTTATTGTGGTAGTACTGGCATTTCTGACAGTGTTGTATTTTTACTATTCCAAAATATTTTCTTTTACTCTCTTACTTTCTGAACTCATAATATTTATTTTTTTCCTTTTTGTTTTCAATTCCCTGTTTCTCAAGAAAGCTATTATTATGAAGCTAAGTACAGATCCTACATTTATTTTTTTTAATATTTATTTTTTAGTTGTAGGTGGACATAGTTCCTTTATTTATTTATTTTTTTTAATGTGGTGCTGAGGATCGAACCCCGTGCCTCACGTGTGCTAGGCGAGTGCTCTACCACTGAGCCACAACCCCAGCTCCGGGATTTTTTAGTATTCTTTTGGTTGCTAGAATAAAAGTAATAATAATTTTAATGTTATAACTCTGGTATTTGCTACATAAAAAACACTTTGGTCTATATTTATTTGACAACAGTGGACCTCATGATCCATTAATTATAATAGCCTCTCTCAGAATGATGGCAATTTTGTCCTTTTCGTTCAATTTCTTTGTCGAGTTAATTAATAACAAGTGTTTCTGACGTTAATTATAGTATGTAATACTGTCATTTTCCCCCTCCCTCCAGGTCTTGGATTTGCTTTCAACCTGAATCCAGCTCTGACCATGATTGGCACGTATTTCTATAAGAAGCGACCCTTGGCCAATGGACTGACCATGGCTGGCAGCCCTGTGCTCCTCGCAGTCCTGGCCTCCCTCAATCAGACTCTCTTTGATAGCTTTGGTTGTAAAGGAAGCTTCCTGATTCTTGGGGGCCTCCTACTAAACTGCTGTGTGGCTGGAGCCCTGATGCGACCCATAGGGCCCAAGCCAACACAGGCACAGACAGTTGAGTGTAAAGAATCCCTTCCAGAAGCTGGAAAATCTAATGCAAACAAGGTTGCAGGTGATGCCAACGGAAAATGTAATGGTGGGAACGATAAAGAGGAGAAAAGATCCGTCTTCCCAGTAGTTAACCAATTCCTGAACCTGTCCCTCTTCACCCACAGAGGCTTCATTCTGTACCTCTCTGGAAACGTGATGATGGTCTTTGGACTGGCTGCCCCGTTAGTCTTTCTTAGTAGTTACGCGAAGAGTCAACACTATGCTAGTGAGAAGCCTGCCTTCCTTCTCTCCATTTTGTCTTTGGTCGATATCATAGCCAGACCTTCCATGGGACTGATAGCCAACACCAAGTGGATAAGACCGCGAATCCAGTATTTCTTTGCTGCTGCGATTTTTGCAAATGGAGTGTGTCATATGGTACTGCCTTTTTCTACCAGCTACGTTGGGTTCTGTGTCTATGCGGGATGCTTAGGATTTGCCTTTGGGTGGCTCAGCTCTGTCTTGTTTGAAACACTGATGGACCTCGTTGGACCGCAGAAGTTCTCCAGCGCCATGGGATTGGTGACCATTGTGGAATGCTGTCCTGTCCTCCTGGGGCCACCACTGTTAGGTACAGTATGTTTCCCTACCTCTATGATCCCGCTATCATAAAACAGGATTAGGACCGTGATAGAAAGCAGAGATTAGGGGCTGGGATTGTGGCTCAGTGGCCAGAGCGCTCACCTAGCATGGGCGGGACCCGGGTTCGATCCTCAGCACCACATAAAAATAAAGGCATTGGGTTGTGTCCATCTACACCAAAAAATAAATATTAAAAAAAAAAAAGCAGCAGAGATCAGTGAGCTGTTTGGTAGCACAGAGCAAGCCTTTCTCACCTCTGTACCCTGAATGCTGGCACATTACTTGACACAGGTGATTGCTCAAACACTTACCGAGTCAAAGTAAATTGAACCATCAAGCTGAAAGGAAAATTTAAAAAAAAAAAAAAACTATTACAAACTTCAGTATTTTTTTAAAAGTATTTCTGGTCACAAAATGAACACGCTTATTGTAGAAAAATGCGTAATGTACCTTTCCACCCTTAAAATACTAATAGCATTTTCATTTTAATCATGACATTTCTCTCAGTCCTGCTATTCAAAATAATAATAACAGGTATCAGGCGAGGGTTCACAGTGTACCAGACTGTTTTCGTCACTTTATATGCCCTGTCATATTTCACAAGTCTATGAGGTAGAACTGTTACTGTCCCACTTTACAAGTGAAGAAATATGGGCTTCTAAAAATGAAATAATCTGTCCGAGATCTCGCATTCAGCAAAGGGCTACAAAACTTAATAGATTATTCCATAAGAAGAGCAAATTCTTTACATTTAGAAATTATTACTTAATACTAAATACAAGAATAATTTGGCTCTCCTCTGGACTGATTCATGCTTCTGAGATTATGCATGAAGGAGCAAGGAGGGATCCCCACACAGAGGCCAACTGCTGACTTCAAAACTTCCCCTCGGTTCCTTTTCTCTCTACTCAGTGAGTTTCACGAATCCTATCAGTTTTTATCTCCAAAACCTTCCTCATCTGCCCATTTTTCTCCGTCACTACTACCACCCTTACCTAAACAGCTGTTTCCTGTTCTGGCTGACCCTAATGGTGACCTCGTGACTGGTCCTCCTGCACCTGCGCCAGCTGTCCTGAAGTCTCTTACACCTCTTCCGTGGCTTCCCACCGCTCTTAGGGTGAGGATAAAATGTCCTGATGTGACTTACAAGGCTCTGCCTGGCCTGGCCTGGCCTCACCTGTCTCTCCACCTCATTTCTTAGCACCAGCCCTTTGCTCTCTGCTCCAGTAGCCCAGCCCTTCTTCCTGGCTCACATGCCATGCTTCCTTCTTCCTACCCCTGTGCCTTTGCACTTGCTGTTCTGCCTGGATCCTCTCCTTACCCCCTACTCCTGAGGATCTCTGTCCTCCTGCTAGTCTCAGCTCAGTGGACTCAAGGGAGGAAGACTTCCTCTCCCTACCTGCCAGTTCCAGTCCTCCGTTTTCTACTTCCATAACCCTCCCTGTAGCGCTTGTCACGTTTGTACCTGCGCCATTTGTTCAGATGTGTGATCATCTGAACAACATCTCTTCTCCATTCAGCTGTGGGTGGTAAGGCCCTTGCTCACCCTCATCGGCAGCCCTGAGCGAAGCCAGTGTCGGGGCAGCGATGGAGGCTCAGTGACAGTTGCTGAATGAGCGACGCTCTGAGTTAGGAAGCCATATGGGGGTCACATTTGAATTGGTTCTGTTAAGTGCAGAGTAGGGCTTTCCAGAGTTTATTTCTAGAGACACTGATAAACTGCAACCATAACGAGAGGTTTAGACACGCCAAGTTCAACGGATCTCTTTGCCACCAGACTTGACAGAGCCTTAAAGATAAAAAGGAAGTGATACGTCACCCCAAATTTTTGACCTTTGAAACATTGGGCTCCCCGTGGCACAATAGTTACAGGTATAGATCCAGGAGTCAGAAGTCCCAGGTGAAAGCCAAACGGTTTCGTTTACTAGCTTTGTGACCTTGGACAGGTTACCTATGTCTCTGTACTTCAGTTGTATCTATACAATGACGATGACCATGGAACATGCCTGTCGTGATCTTTGGAAATGCTGCTAGATAAAGAGCTTTGGCCTCTGGTAACTGGAATAGCTGTGTGTCCCCGGACAAGAGTCCCAGACCTCTTCTGAGCAACACTTCTTCCATTACGTACTAAGGGGATCGATTGTAGGTAATCTACAATTCGAATCTGCCAAGAATGGATGATTTTCCAGGTTTCTAAAAATAACAGAATATGCAAGGGCACCCAAAAATCAGTGAAAAAATGACATAAATAGAAGATAAGGTTATTTTTAGCAACTCCTTTTGGTACCCATTGGGCATTTGCGGGCTTTGAAGACTGGATCGATATCTTCTTTCTGAGTGGATCCTTATACTTTGGGAAAGGGTATCCCCATTTACTTTACCCACAGACTTTGTTTTTTTTACATCTTTAGGTCGTCTCAATGACATATACGGAGACTACAAATATACCTACTGGTCATGTGGTGTGATCCTGATGATTGCCAGTGTCTTTCTCTTCATTGGGATGGGCATCAATTATCGACTTGTGGCCAAAGAAGAGAAAGCAGAGGAGAATCAGAAAAAGCAAGATCCAGAGGGGGAGGCCAAAGGAGTTCCTACAGAATAACATAGAGTAGAGAGGCCCTGGGGAGAAGCGTCCCGGCTGAAACCACGGATAGTCAGAGGAGCTTCTGGCCAAAGATACGGGAAAACATTCTACTGAACCATGTGCACCCAGCGATGCTTAACGTGGACAGCGGACACCTTTGTGGAAACAGCCAGGTGTTTATTGAGGAAACTCTATTTCATCCTTTGTATCAGTCCAAAATAAACATCACATCCTCTGAGGACTGGGGATTTGCAGACGATGGGGAAAGGAAATTGCTTTTATTTGAAGTCAGATGGATTAAGGGATACTTTACATATGGCTGAACACCTCATCATTTCTAGGGGTGTGGGGAATTGAACCCAGGGCCTTGCATATGGTAGACAAGCACATATCCAGCCTTACCGTTCCATTTTTTTAAGGATGCAGTTTGATGAGTTTTGACAAAAATGTTTAGTCAAATAAGTACGACCCCAGTTTAGAACATTTCAAAGACCCCCCAATACTTGGCTCCTTTCTTCTGGAAATGCTGCTAGAGAAAGAGCATTGACCTGGGTAACTGGTCAAGCCTGCCCCTCACCCCTAATCCCTGTCAGCCATTAACCTGATTTCTGTCCCTTGAGTTTTACCTTTTCCCAAATGGAATTAACGGAATCATATGGTAGGTAGTTGTGGCATAACAGGAAATAAATGTTTGGCCTTCATCTGCAGTTGCGGGCACACAGCTCCTAAAACCATTGGAATCCCTGGAGTGGTAAGAGTGCCTTTTGCATCTAGGGACAGGATTTGTGGCGGGGACCTGTGGAAACCTTCAGGATGGAGGCGGATCCCCAGAAAGACCAAGGAGTGATGAGAGGGTCAGATTTTCAACTCCTTCATAAAAATCCCTGAACAACAGTCCTAGCTTGGGGAACACACTGAGGGGCCAAGAAGGTGTGCCTGGGGAGGTCCCACATACCTGTCCAGTGCATCTCTTCTGGCTGTTCCTGAGTCATATGCTTTATAACAAACAGTATGCAAAAGTAAAGGGTTTCCTTGAATTCTGTGAGCTGTTTCAGAAAATTATCACGCTTGAAGAGAGGGTCATGGAAACCCCTAGTATATTACCAGCCCATCGACTACAGGGTCAGCCTGAGGCTTGTAAATGGTCTGAAGTGAGGGAGTATCATGGGACTGAGCCTTCAAATCTGTGGAGTCTGACACTAACTCCTCTCATTAGTAGATGGTAGTGCCCCACTGTGTATATATGCCACATTTTTTTTGTCCATTCATCCACTGAAGGACATCTAGGTTGGCTCCACAGTTTAGCTATTGTGAATTGTGCTGCTATGAACATTGATATGGCTGTGTCCCTGTAGTGTGCTGTTTTTAAGTCCTTTGGGTATAGTCTGAGAAGAGGAATAGCTGGGTCAAATGGTGGTTCCATTCCCAGATTTCCAAGGAATCTCCATACTGCTTTCCAAATTGGCTGCAGCAATTTGCAGTCCCACCAGCAGTGTATGAGTGTGCCTTTTTCCCCATATCCTCACCAACATTTGTTGTTGTTTGTATTCGTAATAGCTGCCATTCTTACTGGGGTGAGATGGTATCTTAGAGTAGTTTTGATTTGCATTTCTCTGATTGCTAGAGATGATGGGCATTTTTTCATATATTGATTGATTGTGTATCCTAATTTGATGTGAACATACTTTATATACAGTTACAAAAAAATTGTGCTGTGAATGGATAATTATGAATGTAATGCACTCCACTATTGTCATGTATGTAAGAAATAAATTTTTAAAAAAAGGAAAAAAAAAAGAATTGTAGTGCCCTGTAGTTGATGTCTGCAGAGTTGGAGCAATGATTGTTGCTGTGGAACAAACTTACAACATGGTGTCAGAAGTGTGACTGGAAACAATTCAGAGTAGCCTCCTGTGTCTCTCACACAGCATCATGTTGTGTGATTCATCTTTGTTGTTACATTTATCAGCAATCCGGTCCTTTTTATTGCCGAGTAGCGTACCTTTGCATGGATATAATTTGTGCATCTGTTCACCAGTTGATGGACATTTGAGTGATTTCCAATTTCTATCCATTTTGCTATAAACATTTAAGAGATCTATGTGTAGATATAGGCTTTTATATCCCTTGGGTAAATATTGGGATTGGGATTGCTGGGACATATGGCAAATTCATGTTTAACTTTACAAGAAACTGAAATGATTTTCTAAGCAGTTGGTAACGTATGGAATTCTGGATGTTCTGCATTCTTGTCAGCAGATGAATTTCTAATTCTAATTAGAAATTCTAATTCTGTTATTATTAGTACCAGTAGGTGTATAATTGTTTGTTTGTTTGTATGTTTTTCTGGTACCAAGAATTGAACCTAGGGGCGCTTAACCACTGAGCCACATCCCCAGCCCTTTTTTTGTATTGTATTTAGAGACAGGGTCTCACTGAGTTGCTTAGGGCCTCACTAAGTTCCTGAGGCTGCCTTTGAACCTACAATCCTCCTGTCTCAGACTCCCGAGCTGCTGGCATTACAGGCTTGTGCCATTGCGCCTGGCTGACATATGGTTTTGATATACTTTTCCCTGATGACTAATTTTATTGTGCTTGTCACTTGTATATTAGCTAGGGCTTTGTTTATTTTAATGCTAATATTCAACGAGGTCTTAAGATATTAAGTGTCTTGAGTTTTTGTCTTTCAACCCCTTTGGGTGACCTTTTTGGGGCATATCTGACAGTGAAACGAATAATATATTTTAAAATCCTGGGCTGGGATTGTGGCTCAGCGGAAGGGCGCTTGCCCAGCGCATGCAAGGCCCAGGGTTGATCCTCAGCACCACATAAAGATAAATAATTTTTTTAAAAAAGGTTAAAAGAAAAGCGAAACAATAAATTTTTAAAAAATCCTTAGGTGTTTGGAAATGAATTTAAGTAGATGGTTATGAAGTCTCACAGCAAGGAAAAAGCCTTATTTTATCAGTAGGATACAATGTTAAATAAGGAAAAAAACAGAACAACTAGTTAGATCATAGATAGACTCTCAGGGTGAAAAGGGGAAGGTAATACACACAAAATCTCACCCATACTGGTATTGGTATGATGATTTTCCCCCTACATTCCATTTTTCCATAATGTGAATATGATTGTTACTTTGTCACTAATATTGGAGGGGAAATGAATAGGTTTGAGATAGAAGACTTCTAGAAAGAAACAGTTGTCTCCCAAGAAAATGAAGCTGGTGTTGATTACAAGCAGGTTATTATTATTATTATTTTTTCTGCTTCTCCACGGGTTGCACTCTGGTCAAAGGGGATTTAGTGTGATGTGGCCTCCAGCCCAGTGGTTTCCAGTTGTGGTCTTTTAGGGGCTGAACCACACGGTGGAGCACAGAGCCCCAGGCCACCTGGGCCAGCTGCCAGGGCTCCTTCCTGCAGGCAGGTGTCTTGGAGACAACATTCCTGCGGCTCCTCTTCTGAGCATCAGCTGCAAGTAAATGTTGAACTCTGGAAGCCAGAGGTTCAGCATCCCGCCACCTCACGGGGTTGTGGTTGTTCTGGGACATTCTCTTTCTGAGCTCAGCTTCAGTAAACAAGACACTAGCCAGGCACGGTAGGTAGCACACGCCTGTCATCCCAGCAGTTCAGGAGGCTGAGGCAGGAGGATCATGAGTTCAAAACCAGCCTCAGCACATCAGTGAGACCCTGTCTCTAAATAAAATATAAAAAAAGGCTGGGGATGTGGCTCGGTGGTTAAACCCCTCTGGGTTCAATCCCCAGTATAAACAAACAAACAAAAAACCCAACAATACACTGTCACAAAAAGACAGAGTGGTGTTGGCTGACAGATGTTTCTACATATTCATTAATGGATATTATTGACACCATGTGCTGTCCCAAGCTCTGTTCTAGGCAGTGAGGATTCAGTACCAGCCAACCCTGTCTGTTGCATGGACTTTACCTTCTAGGAGGGGAAGACAGGCAATGAGTGGTGGGTTAGCAACAGATACAGAGTTAGTCTTTATCAATATTGCATCCGGATGCTTCTGACTCTCGTGGCTGGGAAAGATATAGGAGTGAGCCATTGAAGTTCCCAGAGCCTGGAGCTATTGGCCTCCTAGGTGCAACTATGCAGGAAGTTCTGTGATTCACCAGCACATGAAGAGTCAGCCCAGCCAACCTTGGGAGGCTAAAACCATCTAGTACCTTCTTGAGCAAATCAGTTACCTTCTCACTGATAAAATAAGCACAGTAAGGCTGTGAAGATTAACTACACACGTTCACAGCTATTGTTTTCAAGGAGTTTCAGTGACATGTTCGACTGCTCACATCCTGCAGCGCAGGGAAGGAAGCATCTGGAAGTTTCATGATTAACCAGAGCAACAATGAAGTAAGAACTGCTGGTAATGATTACTTAACTCTTCAGTTGACAAAGCCCTTTAACGTGCCATTTCATGTCATCTATGCAAACCCTGTGGGGTGGAAGCAATCCAACACAATGACCCTGCTAAATGCAATGTGGTGTCCTAGATTGGATCCTGGAAATGAAAGAGGATATTAGTGGAAAGGCTGACCTGTGGCTTAATTCATAGGATCATATCAATGTTCATTTCTTAGTTTTGACAAAATTACCACTGTTAAGCTTTGCTGTCCCAAGAACTGAGTGTCATTTGCTGGCTCTAGCTGGATCCCAGGAGGAAGTAGCCATTAAGAAGCTAGTAAGAGCTGGACGCCGTGGCGCACGCCTGTCATCTTAGCTGCTAGGGAGGCTGAGGCAGGAAGATCAGGAGTTCAAAACCAGCCTCAGCAAAAGTGAAGTGCTAAGCAAATCAGTGAGACCCACTCTCTAATAAAATACAAAATAGGGCTGGGATGTGTGGCTCAGTGGTTGAGTGTCCCTGAATTCAGTCCCTGATACCCTCCCCCCAAATAAGAAGCAGCAGCTAGGAGGGAGCTGGGTCCAGTGGCACACACCTGTAAACCCAGTGATTTGAGAGGCTGAGGCAGGAGGATGTCAAGTTGGAGGCCAGCAGGGGCAACTTGGCAAGTCTCTGTCTCAAAACAATAAATAAAAGAGGTTGGGGGTGTAGCTCAGTGGTAAAGTGCAGCTGGGTTCAATCCAAAGAAAGAAAGAGAGAAGGCAAGCTAGCAATCAGGAAAGGAAGCGGGCTGTCCACAGAGGAGAGAAGCTTCCTTCAGTCGCTGTGTTTTCTTCTCTGTGCCCTCCCAGCCCCAATTTTTTTGTTAAGTGAAAGAGCCTGGTTGCTTTTCTGAGCATAGTTCTGAATGTTTTTCACATGAGAAGCTCCGTAGACATTTTGTAACAACTATGGCCCCAGTCCTGGGACAGGGAACATTCTAGCATCTAGTTTCTCAAATGCTAATGGTAAGCGCAAGCCAAGGAAGACTTGGGCCCACAGGGTAAGTTTCCTGAGCCAGAAGCTTTGGCAGGTTCCTAAACTCCTCCATCTCTGCACCTGCCCGCCCCCCCACTTTCTCCTGCCTGCCCACGCCTGGCCTTGTTCCCTGCTACAGTCAGGCCCTCACGTCACCACCAGGATCCTGATGACGCCCCCCTCCTCCTCAGTCCTCACTTCCTATCCACCGTCATAGCATAGTCATCCAAAGGTTAAAAGCATGACTCACACCTAGCAGGCAGATGGCGAGGATTGATTTAATTCATTCATGAAGATGCTAGCAGAGTCGTAGGGTTTCAAAGGAATCTTTAAAGAACTCTAGTCAGTGAAGAACAACGTGCTGTTGGGGCTGGAAACACACGCAGAGCATGCTCACCACCCCTGAGCTGCACCCCCAGCCCCTCCATGGCCCTTCTGGATTCTTCTGTCTCCTGTGACTAGAGTATATTAGGTATTCAGAGAATGAATCTTGACTTAAAGTGCAGCCCTGTGTGCCAGGGAAAGTTTAAAAAAAAACAAAACTTCTCTAAGCCTCAGTTTCTACATCTGCAAAATGGAAATGATAATAGAACTCTCTCCTAGAGTTGCTCTGAATGTCTGCGTTCTCTGAGCCCAAACCTCCCAGAATTCTGGCACTGATGCTCAAAGGGGCCATCAGAGGCTAGAGGAGCGGGTCTATAGTGACTGGGGGGGGGGGAAATGGATTCATTTGCTTGGGATAGTGGGAAGGGAACTAGTCATCAAGGAAACAGGGAAATGTGTTCTATCCTAGAATGTACTCATCTCTGAAATGGGGACTTTAGAGAATGAGTATTTTATCGGTGGCAGGCAGCCACGGGTGCGGTATGGGGTGGCACCCACATTTGTTGAACCTATAAGATAAAGAACTGCGAACTCCAGAGACGGGTCTGACCAGAGGTGGAAACCAG